TTAAACAGTAACCATTTTATTTCCACAAATATCTTTGAGTCAGAAATCTAAGCAGTGCTCTGTGGAATGTATCCTCACTTCTCCACATAGTGTCAGCTAGAATGATTCAACTGAAGTCAAACAATATCCATCCATGATGACTTTATCACATAACTGAAAGCTTGGTACTGGCTTTTGGCTGAAATATCTCACTTCTCCTTCTTATGGCCTTTTCTCTTCACAGGGTCTCTCGTTTTCAGTGGTCTATCCTAGGCTTCTTTAAATGTCATGGGGCTTTCAAAAAGGAGAAAATGAAAGCTGCAAGACTTCTTAAGGCCTCAACAGGGAAGCTATCACTCCTATTATATTCTACTGATTATTAGGTCACAGGACCAATTAGAGATTCAAGGAGAAAGTAACAAACTCCACCACTTAAGAGTGGCAATGGCATAAAAACACTGTGATACGAGAAATTTCTTGGCACAAAACTTGGCAGAAGGCTTGGCGCCTGTGGCTCAAGCGGCTAAGGCGCCAGCCACGTACACCTAAGGTGGCAGGTTCGAATCCCTAGCCCGGACCCACCAAACAACAATGATGGCTGCAACCAAAAAATGGCTGGGCACTGTGGCGGGCACCTGTAGTCCCAGCTACTTGGGAGGCTGAGGCAGGAGACTCGCTTGAGCCCAGGAGTTGGAGGTTGCTGTGAGCGTGATGCCATGGCACTCTACCCAGGGGGATAGCTTGAGGCTCCACTTCAAAAAAAAAAAACTTGGCAGAAAATCTACCAGAGCCCACAATCTGGTTTCAGATCACCAAGTTCTCCTAAGATGCCAATTATAATCTAATTATAGTATTAGCCTTGCAGACCAATATCTCACAACCTATATCAAATCTGAACATGTTCCTTCGGTGTGGATTTTCTTGATCTGGAAACCCAGAAGTTCAGTGGGAGAGAAGACTGGAGGTGGAAGATCCCAAAATTATCTATATAGAGTCTTTCACTTAATTGCATGTTTTTAATACAGCACTTCCATCTTTCAAGGTAGGTGGCAGACCACAAGTCAAATACCATCTTTTTTACCTTCTCGAGAACATAAACCTCCAATATTCTACTGGCATAAAGGAAGTATAGCCATACTACTATTCAGTTGAGAAAGAGGGAGAAAAGGAGGATTAGGGAGATTAAATGCAGAAGTACCACCCTTACTTTACCATCACATCCAGAGATACCTGCTCCCACCAATGTTTTGATCACATAGGAGTTTCATGAAACAAACTGAATTGTTTTTTAGTTTTGTCTTCTCTTTTTAGCTTAGGTTTCAACTAGCATACTCAAATTTTATCAGTTATCATTGGTCTTTTTCCTTTCCAACTTCAAAAAATTTGTTCATATCATCTTTTCTCCTAAGTCTAATTTTTGCTTGTTTGTTTTTGTTTTTGAGACAGAGTCTCACTATGTCACCCTTAGTAGAGTGCTGTGGCATCACAGCTCACAGCAACCTCAAACTCCTGGGCTTAAGTGATTCTTTACCCTCAGCCTCCAAAGTAGCTGGGACTACAGGCGCCCACCACAATGCCCAGCTATTAAGTCTAAATTTTTGAATCTTTTTATACCATTTTAGCTGGGTTTGGGGAAAAGTAAATTAAATGTATATGGTATTCTGTCATCTTTAACTAGAAATATTTTTTTGTGGCTAGGTGTGGTGGCACATGCCTGTAAGCCTAGCACTCTAGGAGGCCAAGGTGGGAGGACTGCTTAGGCTCAGGAGTTCAAGAACAGCCTGAATAAGAGCAAGAAATTCTCTACTAAAAAAAAAAAAAAAAAAGTAAAGAAAAATAAGCCAGATGTTGTGGCAGGCACCTGTAGTCACAGCTATGGGAGGCTGAGGCAGGAGGATCACTTGAACCCAAGGGTCTGAGGTTGCTGTGAGCTAGGCTGATGCCATAGCACTCTACCAGGGGCAAAAGAGTTAAACTCTGAGGAGTGGAGGAGAAGGGGAAGGGAGGGAAAGAGAAGGTAGGGGGAGAAGAAAAAGAGAGAGAGAAAGATAGATTGTTTTTTTTCTAACACATAATTATATACTTAGATATTGTTAGGGACAGGGAACAGGGTGAGAGAAGGAAAAAGAAACTAATTAAAAGGGGAAGAGAAAAAACTTAGACAGTCCCTTAGCTTAGACATGAACAGGGTATGGAAAATAAACTATTGTGGACTACTACAAGCAGAGCTAGCTAAAGTTGCAGTTAGAAAGTTTTAAAATTCAGAAACTGTTCAACACCTAAGGCCCCTATAGAGGGATTAATCAATAAGAATTTTTTTTTAAAGAAGTTAGTCACTATCCCATGATTAATCAATTCCCTATTAATATCTTGAAGGCTTTCCAAAGAAAAGTCAGTTGATAGTGTGGAGTCAGCTTGATCAAAACCTTAAGTAAGGGGCGGCACCTGTGGCTCAAAGGAGTAAGGCTCCAGCCCCATCCCATATACCGGAGGTGGTGGGTTCAAACCCAGCCCCGGCAAAAAAGTGCAAAAAAACAAAACAAACAAACAAAAAAAAACCTTAAGTAATAGAAATGCATAAACATGAATTAAGAAATGTAGAAACATCAGAAGTGGGTAGAACAAGGCTAGGAATTAGGGAATAAAAATACAAGGGAAAATGTTTGCCTTTTTCCTTCCTTTTCCTTTATTCTCGAGGAAAAGACCCAGACGTTCCTTTCAGGTGAGATCTAACTGCTTAAAACCTAAAGTGTCTTCTATTTGCTTAAAAGAATTAAACTTTTCTGTTAAATTGCCACTGCTGCCTGACTTCCTCTTTTTGCAAAGCTCTGCTGCTGCTTCTACTGCTGCTGCTTAGTTTATACTTTGTGCCAGCAGAGTCAAAGTACTTTCAAATTCTGGAGGCTGCTTCCTAGTGGCACCCAGAAAAAGCGTGAACTGGGGTTGGGGTCTTCATAGCCCCCTGACAGATACTATATGTAGTATTGTTATTTTTAGTTAAAGTATATATGCCTGTGATATTGTCAAATAGCTCAGTGTCCTGGTATATACTCCTAAAACCCTTGGAATCTCCAAAGTGATAGATATATTTTTGAATGCTAATAACTTCACTAGTGGATGGCAGCTGTTCAAGTAGCTTCAGGATGAGGGCTAGTCACTGGACCAAGGCAGTATTAGAAGGTTAGGACTTTCAGCCTCACCCTACCCTCACCTCCTTGGAGTGAAGGGTGGGGAAGAGCCAAAGGTTAGGTTGATCTTCAGTAGTTTACTCAATCATACCTAGGTACCACAGCATCTATAAAAACCCAAAAAAGGGCATGAATTTGGGAGCTTCCAGACAAGTGAACACTTGGAGGTTTCTATTAGGATGGCATGCCTAGAGAGGGTATGGAAACTCTGTACCCCTTCCCAAATACCTTGCCCTATGCCTATCTACATTGTATCTTTTGCAGTATCCTTCATAAATTGGCAAATGTGTTTTCCTGAGTTCTGTGAGCCACTCTAGCAAATTAAACAAACACAAAGATGGGGTGTTGGGGAACCCTAATTTACAGCTGGTCAATCACAAACATGGGTAAAACAATCTGGTGTTTGAAACTGGCATCTAACATGGGACATAGTCTTGTGGGATTGAGCCCTCAACTAGTGGGATCCAATGCTGTCTCTAAGTCAACAATGTCAGAATTGAATTGAAGTAGAGGACAATGAGCTGGTGTCTGCTACAGAACTGTTTGACAAGTTGTTTTTAGCAGGAAGAAACTCCCACACATTTCTTGGTGACCAGACATCACAGAAATCTTCTGTATTAACTGTTGTGGTGGGAGAGCAAAAGAAAAACAGTTTACTTTTTCCAAAGAACACCATAACTCACTGTGCATACCCATGCACTGAAACTCCAAAACTGAAGACCAAAGCAGTCAAGAGAAACATTGTAAGGGTTTAAGTATTGTTATAATCAAGATCTATCATTTTATCTTAACTAAATGGCTTTTCATGAATAATTTGAGAGTAATGCTTTGAACAAAGCAAGGATATATGCTAATACCATGACTCCTTTATTTTCCAGATTTGATTTTATAACACATTTCTCTCAGATTCTTTCAAGATACAGAACTAAGCCTGATGATTCCATATTTTCCTACCTTTTCCCAGGAGAGAAAAACTCTTGCCTATTGTCAATCTTCTACACTCAGTTTGTATGAAGAAAACAGGGGTAAAAAGTAAGGATTAATATTTTAAGTAAGCCAACACAACTTACTGAGACCAAAATAGAAAAACAAAATAAAACACATCCATAATGCAAAGATAGCAACATCCTTCATATGTGCAATAAAACACCTCTTTCTGAACCTGAAAGCTTCCACATCTCTTCAGATGATCCTCTGAAGAAAAAGCAGTTTCTGAAGTTCTCCTAAACTTATCATTCTAAAATCTCAGCCTCTATAGATGAGTAAAAATCCACTCTAGATTTCCATATAAAAAAATTTTACAAAAGAAATTCTTATGGAATAATTGTTCAGGGTAGGCTCTCATAATAATATCCTTTTTAGTTATTTATGTTCCTTAATTATTCTAATGAAATAGAAAATAGATGCGTGAGCAAAGATAAACATAAAATACTACTCTGCAGTACCAAAATAATAACCAAATATTAAATAGCTGAAGCAGTGACATGCTACTTAAAAGTGTATTCTGCCAGAGAATCGGCTAGCCTATTTTTTTCTCCTATACATCAAAAGAATTCTAAAGGATCTTATAAGCTAATCCACAAAAGACATCATTCTCCTTGAAGTTTACAAAGGGCAAATCTGAAACTATAATGATCTCCATAAGCTATCATTCAGTACTGAGAAGTAATTATGCTCAGCTTTTAATTTATGGTTTTAACTATGGTAAATTAATAACACAAAGATGGCACAAAGAGATGAATATATCACTCTATTAGGACTAATCTCTTTAAATAAATATCTCCATATAGCCACCTATCTACAACACAAAAAGGCTAATTCAGAGTCACTTGCCATTTTTGCGTGAAGGCTTCTGTACTATCATCGTTGGACAAGACTGGGCAGGTACTCCATCTGAAGAAGCAGGAGAGCCCGTATGATGAGCTTTCACCTTGTCAGCCCAACTGACACCTGTGGGAGCCAGATGAGGAGCTGCCACTGTGCCTGGTGAACTGCTATGAAGAAAAACAAGTACATTTAATAAATTAAATATGAAAGTAATAATTTTCAATGTACTAAATATATTTCGATTTTAAATTAACTATGTGTATATATCTATATATGTAAAAAAACACTGTCATGGAAATTTATATTTAATTTATATTCATAAGTTTAACTTGATCTAATACTTCAATAATTTTATATAGTATAACAAACATAAGTATGGGAATAAAGAAAATGAATAAAGATAATATAGACAAACTTGTTAAAATTATTTAAAAGAAAAATTCACTTAAATGGGAGAATCCTTTAAAAAATTATGCCTAGATATCATACAGTTATGTGTTACATGCTTAGTAAATGTGCATTAATTTGTCAATCTTTATATAGGTACTATTAAAACAGGCTTTTTCTTTGTGCACATTTCTTTTTTGGGGGGGGTCTCACTGTTACCTGAGTGGAGTACAGAAGTATATCATCACAGCTCACTAAAACTTCAAACTTCTGGGCTCAAGCAACCCTCTTCCCTCAGCCTTCCAAGCAGATAGGAATACAGGTATGTGCCACCACACCCAGCTAATTTTTCTAATTTTTTTGTACAGACTAGGTCTCAAAGTTCTAGCCTCAAACAATTCTCCCACCTCAGCATCCCTAAGTGCTGGAGCTATGAGCATGAGTCACCTCCCCTAGCCTGTCACATTTCTTACAGAAGCATGATGTCTCACCAACAATATCCATTCCGGATCCTTTAAAGTGAAATGAAAGTTCAATGACATGTATTAAACAATTTAATGTATAATTCTCCTAACTTAAATAACATTTTGCCAAACTTGTAGTTATCCTTTTTACTCACTGGACAGCAACTTTATTTTAACAGTTGTTACTTATTAAATTTCAAAAAATTTTACCTAAACTTTTCATAAGAAAAATGTCTCTTTTTATACTAATATTTCACTAGCTTACTTAATTATAAGTTAAAATATTGTGAAAATAACTTGCATACACCAAGTTTGATAATTATCACCATATTGGGGGTAAACACATAACTCAACCAGCAATACCAGAAGTAAATAGATATACTAAAAATAGCCTAAGAGCCACAATTGTCCAGCAAGCTGAGAGAAATAGACCTAATGACAAAGTTAGATAGAGACCAGTATGAGAACTTTCACCACATGTATGTTAAAAGCTTACAGTGTTAAACCATGTCCTACACAATACTCGGAACCACAGACCAATGCAATGCATTACAGAGCAAGTTCCCCTAAAATGGTACTTCAACATACAAATATTTGTCTTTGTATATATTTTCATAAATCCAGTATGGTCAAATTATTATAAGATTCCAAACCCCATCAATCTTAACCAAAGGTAACACTACCTATTAACTAAATAAATGCACTTGAAAGCAATAGTGTGGTTCTATTGAATAAACATTTTTACGAAGTGTCAGGTATAGTGCCAGGCACTCAGAATACAGAGATAATAGCAAAGATCTTGCCTTAGAGAAAGTCCTAGTATAAGTGCAAAAAAACAGACACACACTCACGAAAAAAAAAAAAAAGCAAATGTAATAAAATAACTACATACAAGGTTAGAAGTAATAAGAGGTGGAAGCCATTAACTTTGACATGGGGAGAAATGGAATGAGAAGGTCAAAGAAGGTCAGAATTTAACAGAGGGAAGAAAACTGACCAAGAAAACTCCTTAACAGCCTTACATTACATATCAAACACTAAGGCTCAATCTCTTGGGAACAAATTTCCCCAGGGATCTTAGTGGAAAACAAATATCACCATTTTCTTCTTAATATCACAACTATTAGAAGCAGTAATAACATTTGAGGCAAACAAAGGGCTAAGCTCGAAACTGAAGTTCTAAAGAATGAGACTTCCACAGAGGATTTTGAAAAGCTCCAACAGATGCATTTACTCCTGGAAATCAAGAAGACCACACACACGCACAGGTTATGTCCATTTAAGAAACTGGAGAGGACCCTAACCTCTCACCTCTGACTGGCGGTGAGGCTCTGAGAAAGTAGGAAGTGACAACAAAGGCAGAGTTTAAACTGCCAGAGCACTGACAGTGCCCCCAACAGACACACAGAACCAGGCAGGAATTCAGAGTTTCATTAGCTCAAGGTACTTAAAGAAACCTCTGTCAAATCATTAGTTGAGATTGATAATTATGCATAGAATTTAGTGGCTACACACAACAAAGATAACAGACTCTAAAAAATTTGTTCAAGATAATCATTAAACTAAAGTAACAACAACAAAAAACAAAAATAATAACAATCCTAGGGAGAGTAGCAATCTGATCTCCAAAGCTGTCATATTTTATCATTTAAAATCTTATAAGGGTACATGTGAATCTTTCTAAATGTAGAATACAAATGTCTTAACACAATAACTAAGAAATGACATGAAGGCTATGTTAACCAGTTTGATGAAAATATTTCAAATTGTATATGAAAACAGCACACTGTACCCCATGACTGTATTAATGTACACAGCTATGATTTAATAAAAAAAATAAAACAAATATGATTAAAAAAACTCTACTTTTCAACAATATTCAAAAAAACCCCACATATATACAAACAAAAATGAAAGTATGCCTCATTTATAAGAAGAGCAACAAGAAGCCCAGACACTGGACTTAATAGACAAAAACTTTATATCAGCTATTATAATGATGTTTAAAGAGCAAAAGGACACCATGTCTGAAGAACTAGAGGAAAGGAAGAGAATAAAATTTCACCAAATAAAAAAGAATAAAAAGAAGGTAAATATAAAGAATCACATAGACATTCTGGGGTTGAAAAGTATAACTGAAATTAAAAAATCCCTAGTAGGACTCAACAACAGATTTGACATGGCTGAATAAAATACCAAGCAAACCTGAAGAAAGGTCATTTGGGATAATCTGATCTATGGAAGAGAAAGAAAAAAGAATAAAGAAAGATGAACAGAGTCTCAAAATCTGTGGGACATCATCAAGAGTATTAACATATGTATAGGGGGATTTTCAGAGGAGAGAAGAAAGAGAAAGGGGCAGAAAGAATATTTGAAGAAACAATGGGCAAATCTTTCCAGATTTAATGAAAAACACTAACCTACACTTCCAAGAGACGCAACAAACACCAAGTAAGATATTCTCAGATTCACATCGATAGACACATCACAGTCAAACAATTAAAAGCCAAACACAGAGAATTTTAAAAGCATCAAGGGAGAAGTGATGCATCACATTCAAGGATCCTCAGTAATAGCTGATTTGAGGGCAGGCAGGATGGTTGACACCTGTAATCCTAGCACTCTGGGAGGCCCAGGTGGATTGCTGGTGCTCAGGAGTTTGAGACCAGCCTGAGCAAGAGCGAGACCGGGGCATTGTGGCAGGCATCTCTAGTCCCAACTGCTCAGGAGGCTGAGGCAAGAGAATCACTTGAGCCCAAGAGTTTGAGGTTACTGTGAGCTATGACACCACAGCCCTTTACTGAGGGCAATAAAGTGAGACTCTGTCTCAAATAAATAAATAAATAACAGCTGATTTCTCATTAGAAACCACAGATGCCATAAAGCAATGAAGTAACACATTCAAAGAGATGAAAGAAAAGAGTTGTCAACCAAGAATTCTATGTACTAGAAATAATTTAACTAAAAGGATAAATGAAAATATTCTCAGATAAATAAAAACTGAGAAACTGTCACTAGCAGACCTTCCCAACAAGAAATTGAATGAATTCTCATGAAAAAAATAAAGGCCACCAGTAAAGAACTAGAAAATGTAACTACACAGGTAACTATAAAAGACAATGTAAGTGCAGTTTTTGTTTTCAACTCTTTTCTTCTCCTGATTAAAAAGACAACTACATAAAACAATAATTATAAAATTGTGTTGATGCGTTGTGAATGTATAAAAGATGTACTTTGTATGACAACAATATAACACATGATATATATTTAGATTTTATGTTGCAAAAGAAATTGCCACTTTTTGTCACAAAATACTTATCATGAAACTGTTAATGCATTTTAGTCTTTGGATCACTACTTATGTTTGAATATATTATATTTCCTTAAAACTAAACACTAATGTTTGAGGGTTATTTTTAACTTTTATTCAGATAAACACACAATTTCAAATTCATACACAATGCAGGAAGACAGGTCATGTGGTCAATCCAACTCTTCCCCCTCTAGCTTGGAACTTGTCAGGAAAAATGTACCAAGAATGTTATACCCTGAGATAAGGAGGAACTGTCCAGAACATCTTTGTCTTCATACCCCTAGCATAGAATGTTCTGAAACACCTGAACTCAGAAATCTAAATGGCATCCAGTGTATAAATCCAGAGCAAGTATTTTGTGGGTCTTCTGGCTATCTTGAGACTCCATCCATCTGGTTAGCTTTCCTGAACCTTGGGGGGCCAGCTTTCCATGGATTCTAGGCTTCTACTGATTCTTGCTGCCTGTTTGTGAGCAGCAACATTGCTTTACTTGACTTGGACAAATCAGAGTATGCCTCCCTAGACTCATACTCTGGAACTGGGTTGATGCAAAACCTCCTGAAAGGTCTAAGAACTTAGCAGAAATTGGCAAGGTAGTCAGAGGCCTCCCCTGCGATTGCTAAACAATGCACAGTGTTCCCCTCTCAGGGGTTGTTATCACATGTGCACAGTATTTTGCTTAACATAAACACAGATATTTTTGCAGTGGAATATCAGTTTTATACTACTATATTACCACAGAAAACAGTTTAATTGTAATGCAAGCCTTAGTAAGCTTTTTTTAAGTTCATCTCACCCAAAATTTAAGCTTCGTCGAGCATTTGATGTTACAGTTATTCTATCTGTTGATGGACTTGGAATCACATGACGTCCTGGAGACATCTTCTTTACTTCCCATGCCAAAGATGTTGGTCTGTCAATTCAAGACATGTACCAGATTAAATTAACAGAGAAACAGGAGGACCTAATCTTTTCTCTTAGTTTTTAGAGAGTGAAAACATAGTCAGGTCACAAATTTTCCCCACAGCATTGCTTACCAAAAAATTACCATCCCATCAGATGAAGCAAGGTCAAGGATTTTCTACCCAATGCAATAAAGCATCAGAACCCTACTTATTTCAAAAGGGCCATGGGGTTACACAGATAAACCATTTATGATTTACAAACCTCCACATGACCAGCTAAAAAACATTAAAAAGGCAGTGATACTAATTCATTCTACTTGTGTCTGATGTTCTGGAAAAGTTTGTGAAACAATATACAGGAAAACATGAAGTCTCCTTCCTATACTACTCAATCACCCTTAAGAGAAGATGCATGAAGAGTTCATTCCTCTTTGCTGGGAAAACTAAGAACTGTAACTTCTATTCACCTTCGCAACTGGCCCCCAACCAATCAGCTAACAGGGTACAATATGCCTTCATCAGATCCTTATCACTTCCCTGGGTTTCCTTGCATCTTACTCTCCATTTCCGTTCAGCTTTGCCAACAGCTGGTATCTTGTATTAAAAATTTCATTGGAAAATGGTATTTCAGTGTTTTTGTTTTTTAAATTATGTATGTTTATTATCATTACCAGTGAGAAACTGAATGTTTTTACCAACAATGTGAATTTCTTCTTTTGGGATTTACATGTTGGTATCTTTGGCCCATTTTTCCCACTAGAATTTACATCATTTTCTGACTAATTTGCAATAGTTTACTCCTACTATTATTACAAATATTATGGGTAGAAATCCACTGGCACTGGTGATGCAACTATTTTGCTATTAATTTAACTCTTTATTTTTTATACAGAAAGGCTTGTTTTCTATTGAATCAATATTAAATCAATATTTTTTTCCTTTGTAGTATCTGTCTTTGTCTTACAAAGAGTCTATATTTTCTCCTATATAATATATAATTTCAGTTCTTAAATTTAAATACCAAGTCCAGTTGAAATGAATTTTGATTTATAATTTTAAAAATGTAAGATGGATAATACCATCTCAGAGCATTTAAGGTTGATTTCCATATCTGGCAGCTGCCTCATGAGGCAAAGAGAAATACTGATAATTGGTTAAAGTAAAAAGAAAAGCCTCAAGTAGCCTTTTCTTTTTTTTGCAGTTTTTGGCCAGAACTGGGCTTGAACCCGTCACCTCCGGCATATGGGGCTGGCACCTTACTCCTTTGAGCCACAGGCGCCACCTCGCCTCAAGTACCTTTTTGAACCATGATCACAGGGCAGAGATGGCAACTACTCTGTTAATCTTGGATTTGACTTCTGAATCTTTCTCAATGCAATCCTCAATGCAGCCACCACTAGAAGACTAGATTTCAATGGCACCCATAGCTCAATGGATAGGGCGCTGGCCACATTACACCTAGGCTGGCAGGTTCAAACCCAGCGTAGGCCAGCTAAAACAACAGTGACAAATGCAACAACAACATAGCCAGGTGTGTGGCAGGTGCCTGTAGTCCCAGCTACTTGGGAGGCTAAGGCAGGAGAATCGTGTAAGCCCAAGAGTTTGAGGTTACTATGAGATGTGATGCCACCGCACTCTACCCAGGGCAACAGCTTGAGATTCTGTCTCCAAAAAAAAAAGGCTGGATTTTGCAAGGATGAAAAATAATTAAGTTACCTTTTTAAATACATCAGTGTTTACATTATATATCATTTTTTGACATAAGAACAAACTCAATTAAGTTAAATTAAAAAATGAAAAAAAAAGGCTCAGCGCCTATAGCTCAACTGGCTAAGGCGCCAGCCATGTACACCTAAGGTGGCAGGTTCGAATCCCCAGCCCAGGCCCGCCAAACAACAATGATGGCTGCAACAAAAAAATGGCTGGGCGTTGTGGCGGGCGCCTGTGGTCCCAGCTACTTGGGAGGCAGAGGCAGGAGACTTGCTTGAGCCCAGGAGTTGGAGGTTGCTGTGAGCTGTAATGCCATGGCACTCTACCCAGGGGGACAGCTTGAAGCTCTGTCTCAAAAAAAATAAAAAAATAAAAATTTACTATCAGGATTTAAATTGTGCAAGGTCAAAGACTTCCAAAGGGGTGAGAGTGGTAAGGAACTAGTAGACTAGAATCAAGGGTCTTAAAGATTAGACCCGGCATAGCCTTTAAAACAACACCCTTAAACTCTCAAAGACACAAGATCTATCTCATCTCTGTTTCTCTCTGTGAATCTATTCCATTTTTTTCAACCTCCTTTCCTCTGCTTATCTTCACAAGAACAACATAGCCAGAAGTTCCAAATCAGTATGATGATCCCTTAGCTTAGTTCAACCCAAGGAAGGAAAGCACATCCACAGATCCAATTGCCTGTTATTACCAAAGTACAGGAGTAAAATTGCTTGACACAAAGATGTAATACTTTCCCTAGATTTGGTTTCCTAGGGATCCAAACCTCTAGACTGGTCTCTTGGTATTCCTTCACTCTCTTGGTTCCTTCATAAGGCTGATACATGAATATGAGACAAGAGGCCTTTTAAGGCCACTAAGATTGAAACAAGGTTAAATCCCAGGCAAAGAGCATAGGCTCTCTGGGTAAAAAAGGCATCTCTGTATTTCCATGTGAGTTGACCCAGTGCACAAAGCTTCAGGTTTTACTTATAAGTCAAAACTAAACTAAATAATAAACTTCTTTTACCTTTGTACATAACGAAAATAATAATACTAAGACCAGCTGATTATCTCCAGAATATTTTTCAACTCTCCCTATTACCGCTATTCATCATCTCTATACTATACTGCTGCACCTCAACCTTCCCACACTGCAGTCAAAATGATCTTCTAGAAATACAAACCAAGTATGTCACTTCCTTACTTTAAGACCCTGTATCAGGTGAAAATAAACTCTGAATTCTTTGTCACGTCTACACATCTCTGCATAATGTGGTTCCAGTCTACCTTCTCTAGGCTCAGCTCATGCTTCTCTTTCCCTTGTTCTTTTCACTCCTGTCCCACTAACCTCTAAATTCCCTGACTATGTTGTGTTCTCTTGTACCTCCAAGGCATCACACAAACTGTTACCTCTATTTAGAATTACTCTTTCCCTTTGGCTAGCCAACTTCTACTTGAGGATTCTATCCCAACTTCAGTGTCAGTTCCTTAGAGAAGCCTTCCCGGACTTAGCAACTGGTTGATGGTACTTTTTCTCATATTTGCAGAGTACACAGTATTTCTTCTTAGTAACATTTTGCACACATGTACTTCCTGCTAGAAATGTACTTAGTCTACTCAGGTTGCTGTAACAAGATCCCTTCAACTTGATAATTTATGAAAAATAGAAATTTATTTCTTACAGCTCTAGAGTCTTGAGAAGACCCAGATCAAAGTGTCAGCAGATTCAATGCCCGGTAAAGGCCCCATTCCTCAGACAGCATCTTCTAGCTGTATCCTCACATAGCAGAAGAGGAAAAAAGCTCCCACCTCTTTTTAAAAGGTCCCTATTCCATTATGAGGGCTCCACCCTCATGACTTTATCACCCCCCCCCCAAAGGCCTCACCTCTTAATACTATCACACTGGTTATTAAGTTTAACATATGAATTTGGAAGAGACGAATTCGACCACAACATGTACTGTATGCTTCATTGAGGACAGGGACTGTGTCTGTCCTCCTTACCACAAAAGTCCTACAGCCTGTCACACAGCACTCATATTGTGTGCCGATTCCAAATGAATCTTTCTAAAGAAACTTTGATTTTGTGTTAGTCTCCTAATCAAAAATCATCAATTTTTCCTCGTTGCCTAGTATATTAAGAAAAAATAAATATTGTACCTTTTCCTATATTACTTTCACTTCAAATACGCCTTTCATTTTCAGAGCTGTTTCAATTTATTCCTTTCATCTGAAAAGACTAACCACTTGGTAAAATCCAGCACATCCTTTAAAGACTTCTTCTGCATTCTCTATGAAGTCTTTCCTAGATCTAGCCTCCAAAGAGATGCTCTTCTCTGAACAAGCATAATTATTTTTATACCAATACGTTTTAATACATCCTTAGGATACAAATTCCATGAGAGTAGTAACTATGTCATATTCAGCTATTAAATTTCTATGCCAAACCCAATAATACCCATTGATAAATATCCAATAAATATTTGTTATTGAACTGAATGAGAAATGCAGCACCCAATGTTTTGTAAGTTTCGAATCAATCAGAGGTTAAGTACATTATCAATTTCAATGATTATTACTGAGGGCTGCTATAAACATTAACACTGGATCTCATTACCTGCTGCGAGCATCTGTCTTCTCCAGCTTTTCTTGAAGTTGGATCCAGTCAATCAATGCTTTAAAATCTCTCACATAGTTATCCAGCATCATTAGCACCTCCTAATTTAAACAAACAAAAAAGATAACATTGCATTCCAAGAATATGAAGTTTTAAGAAGAAACTATTACAATGAAGGACTCAGGAATTAATAATTTTTACTTTATACTCCTCACTGAAGAATCAGCATAACCTCCTGATCTAGTTTTTGTTTTTTGTAGTTTTTTTTTTTTAATTTTCAATGTTTGGTAAGATATTGAGAAATAGTATGTTAAGAGCCTAAGGACCAAGAAATAGTACTGATATTCTACCTCAAGGCCTCCTCAACCAGCCATCCTTTTTTTTTTTTCTTTTGAGACAGAGCCTCAAGCTGTCCCCCTGGGTAGAGTGCCGTGGCATTACAGCTCACAGCAACCTCCAACTCCTGGGCTCAAGCGAGTCTCC